AAGCCATGTACTAAAATGATTATTTACTAAGAACACCCAATTCACTTACAATATTGAAAAAAAATATTCTCCTTCAACTATCCCTTCATTGCTGCTTAGCCATCCTTTCCTTAAGCTCTCGGTATCCTCTCAGCAACACTCACCAGCAGCCACTCCTGATTTCTCCAGCCCCTAAATCAGTGGTTCTCAACCTTCTGACCCTTTAAATACAGTTCCTCATGTTGTGACCCAACCATACAATTATTTTCGTTGCTACTTCATAACTGTCATGTTGCTACTGTTATGAATTGTAATGTAAATATCTGATATGCAGGATGGTCTTAGGCGACCCCTGTGAAAGGGTCATTCGACCGCCAAAGGGGTCGCGACCCACAGGTTGGGAACCGCTGCCCTAAATCTTTAGAAATGATCTCCTTTTCTTTGAAATGGAGGCCATTTGAGGTCACCTCCTTCTATACATCTGTGTATTTCTGCCATCCTGCCTTCCTTCCAAAGAACCAGGGAAACAAGAAAGAACGCCTCCACTCATGTTCTGGTCCATCCACCCTTTGACTCCAGTGGAATTACAAGACTTTCTACCGCTCCCATCCAAACCTTCCGCAGCTCATGGGTTTCTCCCTGGTCAGTTACAAAGAGTGGGTTCACAAAGGACCTTCGGGATTTAGGGATTTTACAGATTCCCAAAGATATTCATAACAACAACCAGAAAGAACACCTGGCAAGGCCAACCTCATCACCTCTCCTTCATGGCCATTCCCTCCTCTTACAACACACACCCTCCTCCTGCCAATTGTGAGTTTGGGGGTGAGAAGCGAAATGGCTCTTTTCCACAAAAATTGCTCTAACACAGTGATGGCGAACCTTTTGAGCTCGGCGTTGTCAGCATTTTGAAAAACCCTAACTTAACTCTGGTGCCGTGTCACATATAGAAATGTTTTGATATTTGCAACCATAGTAAAACAAAGACTTATATTTTTGATATTTATGTTATATATTTAAATGCCATTTAACAAAGAAAAATCAACCAAAAAAATGAGTTCGCCTCTGACACACATGTCATAGGTTCGCCATCACTGCTCTAACATCAACTCGGGCTGTTCTAACTTTTCTCCTTCTGTCTTAAAGGGTGAAGAGGTTTTCCCCTATCTCGAACCCATCTGGGCTTGACCCTGTGCTGTTCTCTGAGCCTCATCCTAGAGCTGGGCCATTGCAAATTGTCAGTGTTGGTTCAGGAAAGCCCCCTTTTGACCTGAGGATGGAGGAGCTAGGGAAGGTGGGAGAGGTGGAGGACTGGGGGTTGGGAAGTTAAGGATGCCACCGGCAGTCAGTTACAGGAGAGCCAGCTGGGGATACTAAAGACCGAAGCAAACAGAGGTGAGAGGCCAGATCCACCGAGCAGCCTGGGCTCAATAGCAACAGGAACCACAGCCAGGTGCTCCTGATTAGCTCACCCTCCCTGCAAGGCCCGGGCTTGACATGCTGGGATTAGTTCCATGCTTTTGGCTGGAGGCAGAGAAGCTGCCTCATTTACTAAGGCCTTTCCGTTGTCAGCACCTTGTCATCGGTCGTCAACTCAACTGAATCTTCAGATTTCCTGATTCCTGGATATGGCCTTGCACCATGGATGACCCACCGTGTTCTACCTCCTGATACTTGTGTCTTTTTGTCTTTGAGTATCAAAGCCAAAATCAAGACAACATTGGGGGTGGACCAGCATTCCCTAGTTCTAGAAAGAGCTAGGACCCATAAAGTACCAGGCAAGGATCCTCAAGTATGAGGAAGGAGCAGATAATTAGGTACACTAGGTAAGAAGTGGGGATGAGACCAGCCAAGGTGAGCATAATGTTCAGAAGACTCACATTGCTGACAGTTTGGAGGAAATAGCCTTTTCAGAGGATGGGGTCTCATCTCATCGGACACCTTAGCCACTGTGGGAGGTAGGAGAAGCATAAAAATGCCCAGGAGATAGATGAGGTCGAAAAGTGGGTGGCTTCCTCCTCGAAGGCCAGGCTATTTAAGAAGAAGAACCAGAGCGGAGACGAAGCTCTCACAGCGGTGCTCATGAGTTGAGCCTGAACTACAAGCATCTCTTTAAATTACCCAATTACTCAGAACCCGTGGGCTTCTCTCCAATAACAAACTTGGATTAGCCCAGCGCTTCTCAACCTGTGGGTCGAGACCCCTTTGGCGGTCGAACGACCCTTTCACAGGGGTCGCCTAAGACCATCCTGCATATCAGATATTTACATTACGATTCATAACAGTAGCAACATTACAGTTACGAAGTAGCAACGAAAATAATTGTATGGTTGGGTCACAACATGAGGAACTGTATTTAAAGGGCCAGAAGGTTGAGAACCACTGGATTAGCCTGACAAATGAGGGACTTTCAGTGAGGAGCTAATGATTCTATTCCCAGGCTCTGAGAGAATTTACCCAGAAAACTCTGTTTTAAAATCTGAAAATTCTTTGGCAGCATCTTTCTAACCTCCTCCTTAGTCCTACCATGTTATTTGCATACCACTTGGTCAGCGTTTTCCCCTGTCCCCCGACCATGGCCTCACCCCACCACATTTCTGAGACATGGGATCGATTGCAGGCAGATGGGGACCGAGCTAATCCCTTTTCATGCCCATCTATAAGTCAGTTTTTGTCTTGCTGAAGAATGACCGACTAGTGAATATGCTACTGTGAAAATGACAAATGGAGACAACTATATGTGTTTCTAAGAAAAGACTTACTGAGATGCCTTTTACTTAACAGAACAGAGAATACCCAGGCTGGATTCTGGAACTTTCCATGGCTGGACAAAGGACCAACCTATTGCCCCAGAGTAGAAGATCCCCAGGCTAGTCATAGGAGCCAACTAGAATTATTAATAGCCCCACTGTGGGAGAATGCTTATATGTATCTCATTTAAATCATTTAAGCTGCAATCCAAACCTGGTTCTCCTCTTTAATGAAAGGATTGTATCTGTTTAAAGCAATCTTTTTATCTGAATTATTTAAGTTGCACATTTCTATTTGCTTTGAACAATGGAAACAACCCAGTGTGTTACCTATGGTTTAATCCATTGTATATTCCTGGTGTGTATGTCAATGTATTTCTCTTTATTAAATGATTTTAATAAAATGAAAATCCTTGCACTGTGGTTCCACTGAGTCCTGTTTACCTCCCTGCTTGGGGAGATGTGTTCTAGCTACTATTTAACAGGAAGAAAGTAGTGCAAAGAGCTGCCTAAAGTTCAACATCAAGTAAAATATCAAATCCCTTTGCTCCATCACTATATACAGTAGAACACTTAAAGCATTATATTTTTAAATAATGTTTTTTGGGGAGGTGGGGAGCACACGAGAGGAGAGAGTGGTGGTAGGAAATTCTGAACTGTCGGGGACTTGGAGATGTTGGTCTCGAAGTGGAATCTATCCTCAGATACCAAGATTATAGATTCCCTTCCAAACTGCATTCCCTACATGGTTTCGAGAACAGTTGAAAAAGAAATTGCTCTCCATATTTTGATTGACATGAAAAACACTGTGGAAATAGTTTGGAACTTGATCTCTTCAAGGGAAGGATGATAATCAAACTACAGCTCTCGCCTGCAGCCTTTCTCTCACACTTACTCAGAACAGTTCCAGGAAAAGAAACTCACAGGGAATTCTGTTATCATATATCACTTCTGGGAGGAGAGAGAGGCATTCTCAAGAAAACTAACCCCCAACTTCTCAATACAAAGAGAAGAGACGATTTCACGAATCTCAACACAAGAACCACCTCACTCCATGGAATAAAATCAAATGGGGCCAGTCGTTCGGAGCTGGAAACCTTGAATGTCCAAGATTTTCTTTAAAAATGATCAGGTTCACCCTTTTTGCCACTAGTCTTCACTTAAGTTCCAGTCCTGCGTGTCTGGTTTTGCCAAGCACAGTAGAAAGACTTTACTATTTCGGTTTACAAGTCCATCTGCATAGCCCTGTTAACAGAAGAATACCAAGCACTTTGTTCTCCTCCAGTTTTTTTGACCATGTATTGCCACAGCACTAAAATCCCCTCCAGCCCTCACAATCAGCTCTTTCTAAAAGGAGTCTCAGGCTACTACCAACCAGCTGCCTCGTACTTTTGCTGGAGATGCCCAAATATGTCTGACTCTCCTGAAATGAAAGACTGTGTCCTCCCTTTCTACCGGCAGCTTCTCAAACAATCCAGTCACACGCAGGCACACTTTCCAACAGAAAGTAAAATTTCTCAAGAAATAGTTTGGTGGGATGTTGAAAGCGAGTTCTTAAAAACACACCCACCAGCGCCTGCATTCTCTCACTATTAGGTTTTATAGGAAACAGATCGCGGTAGGCATCTTCTGTCTTAGCAAATATCAGATCAGTTACATTAGCCCCCCGCCCCCCCGGACCCCCCCCCCCCCGCCCCCAACCAGCGTTCGATGCCCGTGCTCTTTCTACCTCTGACCTTATCGCTTGGCAGCTCTAGAAGTCTAGTCTCCAGCACGGGTAGCAGAATAAAATGCAAATGCCTTTGGTTAAAAAGCATCACTTTCTTGGCTTCTCAGCCACCTAAAAAGTTGTGGTTAAAAGCAAAACCTCCTGAAATCTCTGATAACAGAGGATGCAGGAGAGACCGCTGGTGTGAGCAGAGAGCACCGCGCGCCCGTGTCAGTAGGCGACCAGGTACAACCCCCCTCGCCCTCCTAAACAAAAGGCTCCTCTCCTCAAAGTTACCGCTGGTCCCTGCACAGGCGCCTCTATGGATCGCCCCTCGCGTCCCAACTCGAAGAACAGAACTTGAAACCCCATCCTTGTTTGTCTTCCGGGAACATCTGCAGGGCAGCGAGGCAGGGTCCGGCTCTGAGCATTTGCATGGTTTACGGGCTTTCACAGCCTCGCGCCCCCCGGCTACCTGGGCCAGGAATGGTGAATGGAACCGGGAGGGAGAACGTCCCCAGCCGTCCGGGGAAGAGACGAAAAGAAAGTCCTCTGTGCCTTACCTCCTAGGCTGCAGCTTCTTCCCGGGGACCGAGCGGCAGAGGAAGGACCGACTTCTTTCCGCGGGAGCACAGCGAGAGGGCAGGCAGGCCGGCAGCGCGGCACACACTGCTCTATTCAATAAAACTGCAGACCGCCCTTCCCCGGCCCCGCCCCGAAGTCCGCGCGCCGGGAACACACATCCCCTGTGTTTACAGTCGGCAGCCGGTGGTATGCATTGTCCTGTAGGGTTTTCTAATAGGCAGCCAATGACGACACCGCGGCCGAGGTGGATGCAGCCTGCCCGTGGAGATGCCTGTCATTCCCTAGGCATGCTCAGGAAATCACTCATCAGAAAAACCAAGACCTAAAAGGCTCAGAAACTGCGCGCAGGCTGCCAAAACCAGCCTGCTCCATGCCCTTTTTTGGTTATCCTTCGCGGGGCTTCTGGAAGTGAATCCATTGTCAGGAACAATCATAAGAAATGTTAATCTTGGAGCAAGAGGCTGTCTTGTGGAACACCAAAGGAACTTTCAAAAAAGAAGGCACAGTCTATGGAACGAAAAGTTCACAGTCCATAAGTTGGGTGGGGGTGGGGGTGGGGTGGCGAAGGGGTTTTAATTGAGGAGCCTTAATAGTGTATTTCTTGTAAAAGTGGCTGTAAATGCGAAATGAAATACAATCATTATGTAATTTTAAAGCCTGAAATGACTGGGACCCAGGACTGGTGTACAGGCTAAATTCTAACCCGAGAAAGGCACAGCCCCCTAAAATGTGTCTACACTTGTTATAAAAACAACGGACCAAAAAAAGCTGGGGTCTTTTACAGCAGGTAATGTTTGCCAGAATAAGTGTGGCACCAGAAACTCCGCGAGGTGGGGTCCTTCTGGCTTGGCTATCCTCATTGGTTTCCCACACCCCCTCCCTCTCCCTTGCCCCTTTGTTTCCTCAGGTTTGTCCATGGGGAGCTATTGCAAGAAACTATGCACAAAGAGAGGGCATGGAAACCCAGCACCTACTCTGGGGCTGGTGTAGGCGAATGCATATGCCCACAGAGGTGGCACTAATGTTCTAGTGCAGTGGTTCTCAACCTTGGCTGCACATTAGACTCACCTGGGAATCTTTTTAAAATCCTGATTTCTGGGCCTCATCCTCCGGAGATTCTGTTTCTTTGTTATGGGGTGGGGCCACAACATTAGTAACAAAGAAACAGAATCTCCGGAGGATGAGGCCCAGAAATCAGGATTTTAAAAAGATTCCCAGGTGATTCTAATGTGCAGCCAAGGTTGAGAACCACTGTTTTAGTGACTTCTTGAAAGTACTCCTTCCAACTCTTCATTGGTAGACTGTGTGCTATGGGAGGGTCAGAATTAGGAGATGCTGAATTAGAATCAAGTAGGCTGGCACACATGTGCATTCAATCTGCGGTCTTGTGCTTTTAAATATCAAATTCACTCATTTAGAACTTGATTCAACAATGACGAGAAATCATGAGCACCTACTATTTGTCAGGTCTGGGGCCAGGTGCTAGATGTATGCCTTTTTATTGCCATGTGTTTGGAGACTATTTCATCACTGACAAAGAAGAGTTAACATATTTTCCTTGGCTACTTGCAAGTCCAGAAGCTCGGTCTTAAAAAAAATCTGAGGTTTTACTGTGTAGGGCTTTCCCTATTTGTGAAGATCCGACTTGGACATGATCTCTACTTAGTAAAAAGTCTCTTGACCTCTGTGCCTCATTCGGAAGAAGGAGAACTGACTGGTCCAAATGGACGGTGTCCTTCTTCAGTCCTCCAGCATGAATAAGTTACCCAGAGGCATCTGTATCCATCTGAGACCCACCTTGTGATGAGTGTCTCCGGCAGTATGGTCCACAACTCTTGGGAAGGCTACCCTGTCCCCTCTCCCCAGCTGCTACCGCAGTATAGCCTAAAAAAGCTACAGTGAAGGCTGCCAGGCGCAGGGAGAGGTGAGCGACAGGCATCCCAAGTTGGAACTCAGAATGCACTTTCCCAGAGAAGCAGAATAAATAATGGCTGGTGGGAATGGTGCAGTCAAGGCCACGTTTCAAGTACACTGTGGCTCAACCAGGCATTTGTGCAGCACCCTTGTTTGTAACATGGTTCCTATGGGAAAATGTCTTCTGAACCCAAATGACTGATTTGGAAATAAACTCGGAGAACAGTGTTGCTGCAGGGGACATTCCATATCTGGACAGATTGTCAAGGTAGAATAGATACTTTTTAGTCTGCTAAACTTCTGGGCCTGAAGACAGTGTAGGGCAGACATCAATGAGCTCTGAAAGCAACTCAGTCCGTGACGTCTGGGTGAAGATATGAGCTGGGTCCAGAGATGTTTGGGGCCCGTGTTTCCCGGCAGGATGGCCCATAACTCAGCGAGGCCTGTTTTAACGTGCCGTTTTACATGGCCACTGCTGATTGTATCCTAGGCAGAATTCTCCCAGCGTGTATGAGTAATGTCTTTTGGTTGTACAGCATCAGGGCGTAATTTGCAATCTATGAATAAAATAAGTACCAGCTTCCCAGAGGAAAGAAAAGTTGCACTACAAATGGGGAAAATATTATCAGCAGGAAACATGGGAAGGACATGCATTTTATATGGTTTTTGGAAGATAAATGGCTAAATATTTTTGGGTTCATGTTTATAGAAAAGAGAAGTATGTTTCCCTAGATAAATTCTAAATACCTCATATGCAGGGTATAGTGGATGAGCAGCCATTCAGCCTATTTTGTGTATTTGAAAACAGACTACAGACTTATTGTGGAGGAACTATATAGTTGGAAGAATAACTTAGCAAATTAATACACACCATAAAATTTATTTTTTTTTATTGTCTTAGTTTTTTTAAATCAAGTCAGAATAAAAAAGATAGGAAAGGGACTAAAACGAAAGAAAAAGGTAAAGGTTGCCAATTTCTGCCATGGGAAACTTAACTCTCATAGTACTTACTTTTTCCAGAGGTCATTTGTAAACAACACTAAAAATACACAGGATTTATATAGGAAGTTTCTGTGGAATATATTTCCCACTTGGATCATCTCAGATAAAGAACAGCTTGTCTGGCATAGGCTATCTCTGCCTAATGAACCATAACAAATCTAACGAGACATTTGGAAACATCTGGATGACTCATATTTTTTCAGTTCCAGCTGACTATTTGTAATCATGTAGATCAGTAGTGAGCAATTATATTTTGCTTGTGTGTCAATTTTGGAAAAGTAAAGTTAGGCCATACTTTTTCATTTAAATTGAAATCACTTCATGTAGTTCCATTGAAAACATACATTCTTCTTGCTTAAAATATCTACTTTGCTGAACAGAACAGATATTTTGAACATTTTAAAAGGCAGCAGAACACCCCCACGCCCTGCCCTCCACACACACACCTTCTTTTATTCAAATAAAGTATTTCCAGATACTCACATTTCTAAAACAATAAAATCAGACCGGTAGAATGAACAACAAAGACAGTACAAAGAGAGAGAGAGACACACACACACACACACACACACACACACACAGAATTATACTAAGTGTACTTATGAACTTAGATGAAAAAATTAGCATATTGAATCCAATAGTGTAAAAAAAAGATAATACAGAAATGATTAAAATATAGAAATCTATTGATGCATTATACAATATTAGCAGTTTAAAAGTAAAAAATAAATATAAAAAAGAAGAGAGATTATCTTGATAGGTAAAGAATAATACTTGGTAAAATTCGTAATCACTTATAGAAAAAAAAAGGAGCTTTTAAAAAACTAGCAAAACAACGAGAAACAAAACAACGAGAAAACCCACTGCGTGGGAAAACATATTTGCCAATGTCATATCTGATAAAGGCCTAATCTCCAAAATTTATAGGGAACTCATACAACTTAACAAAAGGAAGATAAACAATCCAATCAAAAAATGGGCAAAGGACTTAAATAGACACCTTTCAAAAGAGGACATTCAGAAAGCCAAGAGACATATGAAAACATGCTCAAAGTCACTAATCATCCGAGAGATGCAAATCAAAACAACAATGAGGTACCATCTCACACCTGTCAGACTGGCTATCATCAACAAATCAACAAACGACTGTTGTGCCCAGATTTCAAAGTTCCCAAGACCTCCAGGGAGCCAGTCAGTCCGATGCAAAAGCAAAGAGTCATTTATTTCAAACCTAGGTTTGGCTCCCCTGCCACACTCACCGATGCAACGGTAAGCTCCAGTGGCAGAGAGAGAGAGAGAGAGAGAGAGAGAGAGAGAGAGAGGCCTGATGGGACAGGGGGTTTTAAAGGGGGGTGGAGTGAGGGCAGGAGAGGGGACTGTGGGCCCCGCCGATTGGCCAGGGGCGAGTCGGTACAGGATGTGGTCATAGTGATGGCGTGCACTTCCCTTGATTATTATTGGTTAGTCCAGAGAAATCCTGGGTGTGGCTAGCAGCGGCTTCTTCCCGTGAGGAAGCACATGGCACCGTCCCAAAATGGAGGACCCAAGGCAAGATGGAGGGCGCACATGGCTCTGTCCCAAGATGGAGGACCCAAGGCAAGATGGAGGGCACAGTCCTTGTCGGGCTCCTGCTGCTGCCGCTGGAACTCGCCACAAGGCAGGATGGCCCCCCCGCACAGCACCCGCAGCCGGCCTGCGGGCAGACTGGGACTCCAGCGCGCCTGGGCGGCACAGGCCCAGCAAACGGGGTGCGGCCGGTGGAGTGGCCCAGCTCTGGAGGAGCGGCATCCGCTCGGAGCAGGCCCGGCCATGGGGCCGGTGCACTGCAGCATGGCGGCCTCCCCGAGCTAGGGCACGCGTCCCACTCCGCCGCCGCCGCTGCTGCACTGGGCCCGGTCCGGGGGGGCAGCGGGCGGGTGGCAGCCCGCGCCGGGCTCCCGCCGTGGGCCGGGGAGCCAATGCCCCCCCCCATGGGGCCCGGCGGTCGGCCCACGCAGGCCCCGGTCCCCCCGACCGGGCCCCAAGGGCCGCATGGACCCCCGGCCCCAGCGCTGGCAAGCGGGGAGCCGACCACGGGGGAAGGGAGGGAAGAGCCAGGCAGTGAGGCCTTCCTCTCCCATGACCTCCCCCGTGGTCGGTCGCTGCCCGGCCCCACCCCTCGGCCCGCCGCCGGCCACCACGCAGCTGGTCCGGACACTCGGACCCGCTCCGGGGAGGCCAGGCCCTACGGCGGGCGCGGAGGGATTTCAGAGCCTAGTGGCCAGACTCCTCCTCCCGCACCGCCCGGAGAGGCGGGCGGTGCGCCTTTCAACAACAAGTGCTGGAGAGGATGTGGAGAAAAAGGAACACTCGTGCAC